GGTGGGCCAAATTCGACACTTTTAAAAAGAAAGACACTTTTCTATAGGAGATAATATTGGTATCTGGAGCTCAATTTTTTTATCAAAAACATGATGGTAAAAACCGTACATCGATATCTGTTACCGTTTATGAGTTACGAGGTGTTTTTCAAAAATGTGCATACAAATCACTGTAACTTTTTTGCTATGGAAAAATTTGTGTTTTTGTAAAAACATTTCCAAAGCAGCTTTTACATAGAAATTAATGGTTTAAGTATATATTTTTTTTTAAATTATTAATTTAAGAGTTGTCAACAGAAACATTGATTTTGAGACACCCTGTATATTTTTAATTAAGTGAAAAGAACTTATAATTACAATATAGGACACTTGATATTTTGTTATAGACCTCTTCGAAGTTCGCCACTTTTAACTAGTAGGCTAGTAGAAGTTATCAGCAAATTTTTGCAGCCAATTTCCCAGCCGTTGGCCGTCGAGGACTCCAGACTTAGTGCCTGTTATCCTGGATTTTTATCTTTGCGGAAGAGTACAGGTTCTGGTTCTTATTTTTAAATTGTCTATAATCTAGATAATAATTAAAAGTACTTGGCGGTTATGCGAACGTATTTTTCAACTCCACTGAGTTAATGAATTCCGCGAGAAATGTTTAAAAACGGTCCCATCTGTCCCTAACAGAAGGCGGTTGACATGTCGAATACCTGTAGCAAAACGTCATGTCTTGGTTTGCTATTAATTTTTTTATTGTTATTAGATATAGTTTAAATGTGTTGATGTTGTTGAATATCGTTTAAATTGTTATAGAATTCGGCATATTTTATTGCAAATATTATTTTTGTTTTAATTGCTGCTCACAGACCAGAATTTTTTGCACTACAGCCGGCGCCGTTCAAAACCTACTTATTCAAAGTGGGCAAATTTTTAAAAACTCTACATCTCGAAGAGGAATCAAGTATGCTATATTTTTGGAAAGGCAATTTAAATTATTTTCAATGAATTAAAAACAACAGGGTGTCCCATATAAAAAAATCAAATATTCTGTTAATAATTTTTAAATTATTATTTTTAAAAAAAGTAAACTTAAACCATTAAATTCCACGTAAAAGGTGCTTTGGAAATGTTATCACAAAAATACAAAATTTTCCATAGCAAAAAAGTTACAGCGATTTATTAAAAATGCACATTTTTAAAAAACACCCCGTAACTCCGAAACTGTAACAGATATCGATGTGCGGTTTTTACCATCATGTTTTTGATAAAAATTGAGCTCCAGATACCGATATTAGTTCTGAGAGATATTATCTCTTATAGAACAGGGTGTTTCCCTTTAAAAGCATCCAATTTGACTCATCCTGTACATAAAAGTAAATCTGATGGTGTTAAAATATAGATAATATACCCTTATTATATTACGATAATCTATAATATCTAGGGACTTTAAGTTCATTAATGCTATCGGCGACATATCTAAAGGGAGAACAAGAACGAACAAGTTATTTTTGATTATAATGACAGGATAAAATTCGCCTACGAACAAGTAAAGAAGACTACGTTAATATTTACATTTAAAATCGAAGCCCTTACGTTATTCTTATCTAACATATAAATAATATTAGTACCCTTTGTCATATTATTTTAATGGTGCTAGAAACCTTAACTATATTACTACAATAAGTTGATATCCATTAAATATATTACAAAAATGAAGCAAGTTTAATATTTAATAGAATGTCAAACATTATGGCATCTCTAAACAGCTATATTAGGGTAAACAAAATATGTTGATGTATAGCAATTATGTTGGCCTAACTGTTAAAACTGTCAAAATAGTAGCAAAAATCAGCAAGAATCTAGTCTAATTTTTTCTTCAACTATTCGGTTGTAGCATTTTTCCTTTAATATATTTTTTAACCATGTAAAATCTGGAATAAACAAAATTTCGTATTAAATACTTCAAAAATACAAGAAAGTTAGTAGTTTAGTATACAGGGTGTCCCAATATTTCGTGGATATAGAACTACTACGAATTTTTAAAATTAAAACAGGTTCATTGGACATAATTAACTTTTATACAAAAATCGAGACAAAAATGCTTCGGTGGTCCGTTAGATGGTATCAAACATTAAAAAATAAACACATTTTTTATTTTAAGAAACGTTAGTCCGATTTAAATAAGCTTTAGGGTGACTTTATTGTGCTAAAAGCTGTAGCATTTGATTTTCACAAAAATGAAGAAAAGTATGGGATGGGTGAAAACTACTTCCACCCCTACAAAAATTTTAATAGAAATATTTTCTAACTCCACCAACAATGGTGGTCTGGGTTTTTTCTCAAAATTCTAATAATTCCTACCTATCGTGTCTCTTGTAGAAAACCCCACCGCGAATATTTTTTGAGAAAAAAAAAATATTTTTTAGATGCTGAGTTTGCATAAAATAATTTTCAATTTAGTTGGCGAAAATATGGAATTTTATGTTAGTATCACAAATTATATTTGACAGTAACCTTCATAAATTTTAAATTAATTAATATTCGGATTTACTTTTGATTGATAACTCCCTTCCCTCTAACGGACAAACGAAACATTTTTGTACAGAGGTAAATTGTGCGCAATTAACTTATTTTGATTCAAAAAAGTCTTCTTTGGAGATAAAAAATCTCCAATTTTTTTAGTAGTTTTTACCCTCCCCGAACTTTTTTTTGTGATAGTATTGAAGAAGAATTTTGACTAGTTGGTATGACAAATTTTGCTTTAAAAGAATAAAATTATTGGTGCGAAATGTTTACTACGGCTACAACCTACAACAGTTATTAAAATAAACATTGCAAAGAAAGTGCTATTTTATTCAAAATACAGAATGAGTATTGAAATACTCAACGGTTTTTTTTCAATAAAAAGAAAACAAAAGCAAATAAATCTATAAGAACTAAAAAAGATGAATAACTAGAGAAATTCAAGAAATATTTATAAAAACAATGCTATTTATTTCATGGCAAATGTTATGAAAACAGTGAAATATAAAAAAATCATCTTCTAATACAATTGTTTTATTTCGTTGAACAAAATCGATACCAATTTCGGCTTTATTTGTATGTACATACGAAAACAGCGAATAACTTCCAAGTTGGAACAATTTACTTACTTATCTTTAAATTATTATAATATTTACATAAGAATCGGTATACTGGAAAAATAGAAATGGAAAAAACATTAAGAAGCGAATATAAAAATGTATGCTAGTTGAAATGAATTGTTTAAAAATAATACTTAATACTAGTTTCATTTTACAGCTTATATTACTATCTAAGATAATTTACCACATGTGTGCATATTTCAGCTTCAGTCTTCTTTACTTGTAGTCTAGATAAAACATTCATTCTTACTATATCTATAAGATTTCATATATTACATTTCTAAGAGCGGTTTTACGCCGGACTATTTATTTCAGAAATTAATTTGATCAAAGCTGTGTTCCGTTTAGAGGCCAGAAGTATGAGTGGTTATAATTTTCTTGACGTTATCCTAATTACAACTTTCTTAAGGTCAACTGGCAGTAAAGAACCATTCAAAAATAAAGAAGAAAACTTGGCAGGTAAATGACATCTAGAGCTTCACCTCGCCAAAATTATCATCGATTGTCAATCTCTAGCCATCTTTAACGCCATTTTTTTTCGATCGCATGTTATATTGTACAGGGTGTCCCACTAAGAATAGCTGTCGGCTTTATCTCGGAAAGTATTAGACGTAGGGCTTGCGGAAAAAAAAAATTATAACTAAAGAGAACATGAGAAATTGCTGGAAATTATTTTCAAGTTTGGAGAACGGCCGTTAGAGGGCGTAACTGCTATGGAAAATAACAAAATCGAATTTTTAAGGAATTTTGACTAGATACGATATACTATAAATACTAGCTTTATAATGTTCAGTTAATTTTGGATCTGTTAGAACCATTTTCCCCTATCTGCTAAAATAAAGTGGTGGGGGAAGGTTAGATCTGTTTTTATTTAAATGTTAATAACTCCAAACTGGATGATCGGAATCCAACAAATGAAAGCTCGTTTGAAAGAGCGTTTCTTACTCTATATTATGCCATATAAACAATAAAAATAAGCTTTTGAACGTAGACGGTAGGGGGCGCTGTCTTACAATTTAACAAACATTGCGCGTTATCTCAAAAAAAAATTAATACGACAGTATATTATGTAGTTTTCGCTGATAATAAAGAGTAATAAAAGCTTAAAAAGTCAGCGAAAACCGCATCTTGATATCTTTTTCCAAACGAAACTTATTATCAAAAATATAATCAATACGAAAAAATAAGCCCTAACTACGTTGTTTTTATAACACGGTTACACTAACCCTCTTGATTAACGAGTAACGAGTAACAAATAAGATAGAAACGATTAGTTTGTTCTAAAATCAATATACCAGAACACCATAATACCAGATGTATTAATTTAGCAACGTTTTTTATCTTTTGATTGCTTTTCTAAAAACGTTTCTTCAAAAGAGAAAAAACGCTGCTAAAACTATCAAAATGTTGATCAAATAACACTTTGACGTTTATACTATTACGTCAAAAGCAACTTTTTTCCAAAGCCTACCATGGCATCGCTAAGGCATCATTTCTTATTCACTGTCATTGATATCTATTAATTATTAGAAATTAATACATTTGGTATTATGGTATTCTGGTATAAATAAAAGCAGATCTAATCTTCCCCCACTACTTTATTTTCGCAGATACGGGAAAATAGTTCCTACAAAAAATATTCAAAATTTACTGAAGTTTATGAAGCTATTATTTATAGTACCCGTTATCTAAACAAAATTGTGTAAAAACAGTAAAAACTCCTTTTTCTTATTTTTTATAACAGTTGCGCCCTCTAGCGGTCTACAAGCTTGAAAATAATTTCCAGCAATTTCTGTAGCCTCTTTAGTTACAAATGTTTTTTTTTCGCAAGCCCTACGGCTAATACTTTCCGAGATACAGCCGAGAGCTATTCTTAGTGAAACACCCTGTACAAACTATTTCATTAAAGTAATTTGTCAAATAAATTATCAGTTGTAAAACCACTATAAACTAATTTTAATTCTCGGTTCTCCCTTTTATCTGTTTTCCAACCTGTAAGTCACCGAATCCAATTGACCATATATAAATTTGTTGGCTCCCTGTTGCCAATATTAAATTAAAAATTGGTGTCATAGTCCGGCCTTCTACGACCGCTGTAGCCGCTGTGTTGACTGCTGGCGTGCGGGTAGTAGCCGCTGTACATGTTCTGGTTCCATTCTGAGCGCCAGCTGTCGTACAGGTTCGACATGCTGTTGTCGTGAATGGATCCATCCGATCTCTGAAAACAAATAGCTAAGTATGAATTTTGTAAATTGACACAGACTATATAATATATAATATGAAATTCAACCCCCACCGAAAACTCTAGTAGATACGAAGATGGTTAAAATAGGGCAAAGTTGTGCATTAATGTGCCAATAATAAAGAGTGTCAAAAATACAGGGTGAGCCTTAAATAAGATCAAATATTTTCAGTGCTGGTAGAATCGGGTATCTCGATAGAAAAAAAGAAAAAAGAAACATATTTTCTCTTTGCCATTTTTCATGTAAATCCAGAATAACCAAGATATTTTACTTTGAACGTTTAAAAAAAAATGATTTTTCGCTTAAATTTTGAGAACCACTAGATCTTTTCTGGGTTTTCTTTCTTGTAAATTTATCTTATCGTATCTACTACCTACGTTATTTTATTATTTACTATTAAGATTCTAGATTCGTGTATCATCGTTGATTTTAAAAAGCACAAACCGAATGCTCATTCAACTTTTCAAATAATATTCTGTATTGTTATCTTTCTGGATACGTTTGAAAATATATTCTATGTTCTAGCGCCATTTCTGTCACATTTACTGGTACTGTACATCGTTAGAATCGCAATGAGTTTATCTATTTAGATGTGTAAAAAATGTTGTCTATCGATATATCTTCTTCGTCTTCGAGATATCTTGTCAGATAACGTTAGAAAAAAAATCGAAACCTTCAAATTTCGATTTTTCTCGAATACTGAGTGGAACTGCTCGGAGATTTAAATGTTTCTAAACGAGATATTATTAAACACAATGCACAACTTTGCCCTAATTTAACCATCCTCGTATCTCCTATAGTTTTCGAGATTGCAATGGTGGGGGTCAAATTTTAATTGCCCTGTATAGCCTGTAGATTATGAAATTAAAAATTAAATATTTTGTAGAAACTGGTGTGCGAACTTTTTAATCATCTTATACTACACTTTGAATATTCTACTTCTTCTTAAAGTGCCTATCCTCTTTGGATGTTGACTATCACATTGAACCATATTACTTTGTTCACTGCCGTTCTGAACAAAGTTGTTGACGTCAATCCGGTCTATGTTCGTAGATTTCGCAGCCACGATATTCGTCTGCGTCCTGCTGATCTTCTGCCTTCTATTTTCCCCTGCAGTATGAGTTGGAGTAGGCGGTATTTCTCGTTCCGCATGATGTGTCCGAAGTATTCCAGTTTTCTACGTTTGACATTCACCAGAAACTCCAACTCCTTGTTGATGCGGTGTAGTACAGTCTCATTTGACACCCGATGCACCCACGACATCCTAAGCATGCGCCGATAGCACCACATCTCAAATGCCTCCACACGCTTGTATGATGCATCGGTAAGGGTCCACGCATCTGCTCCATACGGAAGGGTTGAGAGCACGTAGCATTTCAGGACTCTGATTCTAGTGTGGACGTTGAGGGACAGGTTGCATAGTATATTTCGCATTTTGTTAAATGCCCCTCTCGCGATTTCGATTCGGTGTTTTATTTCGCGAGAGTGGTCTCAGTCTTTAGTCAGGGTGCAGCCCAGGTATGCAACGATGTTGTTAACAGTGAACTGAAAGTTGTTGATGTAGTTCTTGCTAACGATCAACGTTTGAGTCTTCTTGCAGTTCATCTTCATTCCGTATCTGCTGCATGTATTCGCCACACGATCTATAAGCCTTTGGAGACCTTCAGCGGTATCGGCCAACAGAACGGTATCATCTGCATATCTCAAATTGTTTACTATTTCTTCGTTTATTACCGGCCCATCCTCTGTGCCATCCAGTGCCTTTCTAAATAGATGTTCCGAGTACACATTGAATATCAGAGGCGACAATATACAGCCCTGTCGCACTCCCCTCCTTACACTAAACTCTTCTGAAGTTTCGTTCTCGATTCGAACCACGGCGTTTTGTTGACGATAAAGTTTTGCTATTATCTCTGTATTTCTATCGTCTATTCCAGATTCCTGTAAAATCGAGATGAGTTTGTCATACTGGACTCTATCAAAGGCCTTTTCGAAGTCTATGAAGCACGCAAAGACATCTACATTGACGTCGCATGCTCGTTGGATTAGTACTTGTAGTGAAAACAGAGCCTCTCTGGTGCCCAAACACTTTCTGAAGCCGAACTGAGTTTCACCTACGTTTTCATCATTAATTATTGAAATTCTATGTACCTATTGAGTTTATACTAAAATTAATATTATATTGTGAAGAATAAAATATACCTTTTTGTGGAACTTGTTCTCATAGGGCTTGTTTTCCCAAACGTCGTCCATATTGTAAAAATCATCAGCTCCGAAATTTTCGAATCCACCCATGTGGCTTTTATTTAGATCGTTCAGCATATCCTCCGTCAATGGAACTGGACTCTTCTTTGAGTTCTTATGTCTATTAACCAGCTGAAAAAAATACATAAATTTGGTGTTATTTGTTGTAATGTTATGAAGTATCTAATACTCACCACAGTAGCCCCAAAAATTATTACAAAGAGCAGAGATGCTAAACCTATAACTATAACAGCAATAGCCCATTGAGGTAATAGTACATTCTCGTCTGAATAGCCTATGGTTGGAATGTTTCCTTTTGGTATTACTAAAATAATAAATTAAGCTCATGTAATTATTCATTGTAAAATAAATCCAAATTGACTTGAACAACTATTTAAAAGGAGTTTTAAGACTTCATATTCTAGTGTTAAATTTAGACTTACCAACAAAGTCAGTGTATTTTGGGTCAACTTCAAACTGGCCCAATGCAATTCTGGCCTCAGCAACTGCACTTTGATTAAGGGATTTTGGTTCCCTATTCTTTGGACTGCTGTCCATCAATGACTGATGGAAAAGCCGTTTAATCTCCTGAGTATCGACTTGTCGACCGATTTCGTTTAATTCTACCAAATAATCCACCAGTACGCTACCCTCACTATAGAAAATTTTAAAAATTACAAGTTAGGAATACTTTTTATATTAGATTATTATAGTTTACCTGAATCCATCAATTCTAATTTTTCTGTACCATTGTTTCAACACTGGAGAGCTGCTATAGATACTTTCAAGCTAGAAAAATAGGGAAAATCAATTAAAATCAAATTAAAACTAGAGTTATGTAGAAATACCTCATTTTCGACATCATTTGCCAATATTTGATACTCTTTAGTGTTTCTATCGAGTAATTCAGGAGCCCATTTTGCTCCACCAATAAGTTTAATCGTTCCCGCTAAATCACAGTCTCCAGTACAAATACCTAAAATCGAAAAATAATTATATTATTTAAGTATACTTACTATTACAACTTTTTTAATATTCTAACAATATGTTTTTAAAGTGCTTTAAAGCACCCTAAAGTTTTCTGTATACAGGGTATTTCAAAAAACATATACCATATCTCGAAGATTGCTCTATCCATAGTTTTATTTTAATTTTATTAATAAAAAAATATTTAATTTATATTTATTTAAATTTTATTAATTGTGATTAATAAAATTGCGTTTATCTCATCAAGGAGGCCGAATTCAACAAAATATCTAGAGATAACTTTTAATTGGCATTAAACGACCTACATAAATTTGATATCAAAAGAAAAAAGTCAGTGGCATACATGTTTTTATTTAAACATATTTAAATTATAACCCATATGCAGGCCCCTGATGAATTTATCGACACTTTTTTACCATTAAAGTAGCACTTATAGTAACTTTTACCCTCAAAATTTCATTCGAATCACTAAAAGTACTTGGAAGAAAATTATAATAAATCGAAAGATTATTAAGACTTTAAGACCCTGTAGCTACGAAACAAAGCAGTATCGGACCTATGTTAATATGAAAAATAAATTTTATTTTTACGTGAGGAATCTCCCCACGAGAGATGGCACAAGTTTTTTGAAACACCCTGTATACAACTTTTATAATATTCTACGCTACATAAATATGCAGTTTCAAAAAAGTCTTGTAAAACACGTAGGCACTAATTTTATTCCGAGTTTATCAAAAATGTATATCCTCCATAAATTATTTTTTACCAACATTGCAAATATCAAATCCCTCTGTCCAAAAAGTTACTGATATTCTTTAAAATGAGTGCCTGAACGAATCAGATAGGTAACTCTTTTTACTTTCGTGAAATAGAAAAGGAAAATAATAAAACAAGTGACAGTTCTTCCACTTCTTGCAAAAATCGCCGCGAAATGTCATAATTGACAAAAGTAAAATGTCATCAGCTTTTGACATTTCTAAATATCAGCCCAATGCCGTCTCTAATAGAACAGCCTCGGAGCGAGATTTATGACGTCACGCTAGTTAGACACCACGGATTAATAAATATGTTGTAGAATACATGGAAAACATAATTATTCCTCGTATTTTTGGTTTGTATTTTAAAAATGATATAGTTTACATGAAATATACATAATATACAGTTAACTGTTATATACAGTTACTTTGGCAAATAAACTATGAACCATACAAATGCAGCAAATGTTTTACAATGTACAAATAATGAATAGGTACATAAGATAAGGGGTAAAATGTAAAATATATTTTAAATTTTGGGGTTTGAAAATCGATCTAATTTAACAAAAAACATTCAATATCTACTAATAGTGATATATTATTATTTGCATTCACAAAATTTATATGTATATTTTGAAATCATCAATGTTTGAAAAATTATATTTGCAAATAATACAATATCATAGAAAAAAAGGCGTCAGCGATGGCTATGAAATAAACATTGCTCTCATTTTATATGTAAAATTATTCTAAAATTTTTGATTTTCTTGGGATATAGGTTCGGGAAAAACGCTGATTAAGTTTTCATTATTTTTTTTGGTTTAAAATAAACGTTATAGCTAACGTTTATAGTCTTCATCAGTGTTGTGTCATATGAAAAAAATAGTGTCGAATATAATCCATAAAATTACATATACGAGGAATAATTATGTTTTCCATGTATTCTACATCATATTTATTAATCCGTAGTATCTAACTAGCATGACGTCATAAAATTCGCTCCGTGGCTGTTCTATTAGAGACGGCTTTGCATCAGCATGGCCGCAAGTTGCTAACTTAATAAAATTAACACTAGGAAAACCCGCGGGAACTGTCAAATTCAAAGTTATTCGTTTCACAGACTATACTATTATATATTTATCAAGGTTAGATTATATTTGTTAAAAAAGTGTCAAAACGTCCGTTATCGTACTATATTTCTCTGTTGACGGGCTGGAGTAAAAAATTTACGGATGAAAAGTGGCGCGAAAATGACACGACAAGATTGACGGACGCATGAAAATCAAGTTTAAGAACATGAAAATCAAGTTTAAAATCCAGACCATGCTTCTACGATGACCAGATCAGTATATTTTTTACACAGTGGCTATTTTCATAATAAATATTTTATTTTCTGTCTAGAGAAACTATTAGAATGTACAGTGGTTTTTTTTCCCTTAAAAATAACATTACTAAATCAGTAAAAATTAGTGACAAAAGAAAATGAATACCTGGAGTAGTAGGCTTTGGTGTAGTAGTGGTGGTGGTAGTAGTTCTTGTGGTAGTAACTGTTGTAGAGGACGATGTAGTTGAAGTACTCGTAGAAGCAGTTCTTGCAGCTTCTAGTAGTTTTTCGATAGAAATAGGAGTCGTAGATGGTGTAGGCCATCCGGTGAATTCAGTGCTTGCTCTAAAAAATATACATTATTAGTTATTTCATTATCTTATTAATTAAAACACGAGCTTATGTCGGGTTTTTATTAGTACTGTTTCTAAACAGTCCTGTATTATAAGTAATTATAGACTATCTAAAGAAAATACCTAATATTGTTTTGATTTCAGGACAGTTTTTATATTTGAAATAATTTTTTCAAGGAAGGTTAAAAAATATATATTTTTGATTTGTTTATTAATAACTTTGAAATTAGCGAAACATATTTACTCATATATTAGTATTAATTATGTAAAGTGATCTGAAAGGAAGCCAAAAATGCAATAGTATACAGGGTTTTTCATTTTAAAAAATTATACTGATCTGCTCACACTTTTTTGAGCCACCCTAGAAGTTAAAATATTTTCCTGAAATACATCCGCATACATATTTTAGGTTTGCACTTAAACAAAATTCTCATTTTTTTCATTCTAGAGCTACTTTAAGAGCTACAGGGTATAATAGGAGATTTTTTGTTTACTGGTCATAGATTTTAACTATGGAGTGTAGAGATGAGGAGAAATATCTCTTATTGGACTTTATTTGAAAAAGTGGTCACAAAAATAGAAAGAATAAAGGTTCACCAAATCACCACAGTGACGCTAATGACGCATAAATCTAAAAAATGAAAAGTAACCAAGTTGTGAATAGATAATAGAATAAAAGTTATAGAATAAAAGTTATAGAACATGTTCTTAAAAATAGTGGGAAAAAACTTAAGCAATATACAGGCATTTCCTTATTTTTGGATTGCACTGCGCTGTTTTTTATGCCTTTTATGCCCTTGGTCTATTATAGCAGCAGTTTGATAATATACCTGGGTCTCATTTATGATCCGAATAAAAATATCGCACAAGGATGGACTATGGAAGTTATATACGTATATTAACAAAACATTAAACAGAAGTTCATTTCTTGAAAAAAAAATATGTTTTGGTGTATCAAGTTGGTACACGAATACACCCTTGGCAATGGTGTTAAATTAAATTTTACCAATATAACGGATGCTAAGAGTGCCCTGGGCCGACCGTATTAGGAATGAAGACATTCTCAGAAGAGCTGGTCTGGAACAACGTGAACTCTTCGAAATCAACAAGAATAGGAAAATAGCCTATTTGGGACACATACTACGTGGAGAACGCTATCACTTTCAGCGTCTGATTCTCCAGGGTAAAATAGAGGGGAGCAAAAGGGGGATAGGACGAAGGAAGCTATCCTGGCTGAGAAATATTCGTCATTGGATACAGGACTTCCAAGCACTCCAAGTCGCGGCAGTTAACAGAACCATCTGATGAGGAAGAAAAAGATGAACGCCTACGCAGGAATCTGCACGGCACCTTAAGAAGAATATAACGGGGGAAACTCAATAAAATGATGATTGTAACGTTGATTGAAGAAATAAAGAGATGCGCAACCTTAAGGGCGATTTTTTAGCACAAAATATGTCCGAGATGTAGCTGGCGTTACGGTTATATGTCCGAGATTTAGTTTAGCTCTGCGCATCGATATTCGTTTACAGCGCAGCGGATAAAGAATACTGTATATAAAAAAAGATGATTCTGCTTTCAGTCGACAGAGCGGGTCGTTTCCGGAGACAGTGTTGCCAGAACTATGGATTAATCGGTAGATTTACGGATTTTGGATACAGTACGTCAATAACACGGATTTTCTATCATGAAACAATGTAATATAATATTATATGATTAAAAAAAGAACAGCGTCACAGTTGGCCTGGAAATGAAGATCGCTCTTATTTCGTATGTAAACTATTATAGTAAATGTCAATAGTCGTCATTTCCAAGCAAACTAAACGACTTTTTTCGATCATCCTATTCATTGCCTATAAAAGAATTTTTATTTTTGTTGTTTATTCTATCCAAAAAATCCTATATGGGTATTTCGCCACTGCAAGAAAATCTACAAAATAAAATAGTTATTTTTTGCAAACACTTCCGCGTTAATCCAAACTGAAACTACTTGTCAGAAATTAGGTTTACAGATATACAAATTTGCCAAACGAACAAACAAATACTTAACGTTTCGAAAAGTATCTCTTTCCGTCGTAGGAAGCAAAAAAATACAAAGAAGAAAGAAAAAAAATATTTAAAATATTTAAATTCAACTATTCGAGAACAATTTAGATTTTTAAAACAGATAAGTCTACAAAAACCGTTGACGTTCTGTTAATCTGTAAACACCTAACTTCTGACAAGTAGTTTCAGTTTAGATTAACGCAGAAGTGTTTGCAAAAAATATATAATAGATAGAAATAAAAAATATTTTGTAGATTTTCTTGCAGTGGCAAAATACCCATATAGGATTTTTGGAAGAGATGAATCCGCCACATAATATGTATAGACATTTTTTGTTTATTCTGTGTTTAACACGAATAAATTTTCAATTCATAAACGCTGATTTTTCATCCAAAAATATTTTCGTTAAACGTATTACAGATATTATACATTTTAATATGGCAACACTGTTGCTTTCAGTTCCACACCGTCTTCGATATACCTTCGCTAGCCTAAGAACTACAGAAAATGAGTGTTTTATGCGTTGGCCGCAAAATGAGTGGGGGATCCACCGTATAGCACTTGAGACGTAAGTTGAAATCAAATCAACCTTGTCTCGAATTCGCTCATTAAGTTGCGTATCTTCCCACTTCGTTCAATCAACGATGGTGATGACTCACTACATTATATTATTCAAATCTATGCTGTGATTTACCTGACAGGCCATCCTTTTTGTATTGTTGGTGAAGTGGGTTTATTAATGGACTTTTCAACAGGCTTAGGCGTAGTTATGCGAGCAGTCTTCCTAGCACCCCCAGGTCTACTTGGGAAAACAACTTTAACAGTTCCAGCAGCAGTACTAGTAACAGGTGCCGAACTAGTTGTAGTCTCCTTAGTTTCTTCTGCTGCTTTGAAGCCTGGAGGTAGTAAATTATCTGGAACCTTTGTGGTTTTCGATGGAGCTTTATAACCAGGCGGCAGTAGGTTTGAGGGCAGTTCTTGACTAATGGTGACAGGAGTTTTAGGTGTGGAAGTTTTAAACTTGTTATATCCGGGTGGAAGGAAGGCGCTAATGTCGACGGGTTGGGCGTTCTTTAGCAGATTGTCAACACCTATAATATATAAAATTAAAAAACGGATATGTTTATGTATTACTATAATATTTACTAGTACACATAGTTCACAGTTAAAATAAAAGCACTGTATAAATTCATTCCTTATAAAAATTAATGATACCCAAGTAGCATTTTAAGACAGAAAATCGAAACAATCTCTGTTGGGAAACATTGCGAAACAGTTTCGTCATAGTTTCGCAACATAAATCGCTTTTTGTTTCGAAACATTTTACCAAAATATGATTTCGCTACAAGGTGCGTATTCATTATCCGAACGAACGAACGAACGAACGAATGTTCGCTAGTGGTATGGACGGGGACCGTACGATAGAACCGCACGAGAAGACCGGACGCGAACGCCTTTGATGTACCGACTCGAAACGGATGGTCGAGCGAACGAACGAACGAACGGCCGCATGCGTTCGGTCCCCGTCTAAATATACCGCACTTTCATTCGTTCGTTCGTTTGTTCGTTCGTTCGTTCGTTCGGATAATGAATACGCACCTATATAAGCATAACAATAAAGACCTTAATGTCACAAATTTTTCGAAACTATTAAAAAACAGATGTGGCTCACATTTACAGATTTCGTACCCGTTTTGTGCCTGAATAGTTTCCATAATTTATTTGATATTCTGTCATATATAAGAACATAACCTTACTTTGTTGTTTTAATTTTATTTTGCAGTTTTTGCATTTGAGCATTCTTCAAGTTTTTATAGTAGATACTATAATTAAAGAAGCAGAACGAAGGACTTTATTTTTTCTTGGACAGATATTTTTCTTATGCGATTTTATAATAATTATTAATTATACGCATTACAGAGATGATATGTTTTAGGAATAAATGTAATAACGGCCAGTACCAATACCCGACAGGAAACCGAATAAAATGTTACTAGCAAACGTTTTTTTCTTTTTTTTCCACAATGGAATACATGTTTTTATGTTTCAATTGTGTTATAATAAGTAAATAAAAATGTTTTAATTATTTTGACCACAAGTTTTGATTGGCGTTGTTGACAGGTGACTGATTCGAAATTTCTACACATATTAAATCGAAACGTTTTGGAGACAAGGTTTCCATTTATTGTCGATACATTTTCGAAACACGAGTTTCTCGTTTTATAGATACAAATACGAAATAAGTATATGATTTGTGTCTGACTCCATGTCAATTCTATAAAATAATGGATTAAAATTCTGCCATGTTGGCCAGTGATGAGTTTTTAACTAAAATATATGTTTTTATCGGCTGTTGAGCTTTTAAACTCATAAGAATATTTCGTTCTACTTAGATTGATTTATATATTTTTATTTTTAGAACCATGGTATAAAAATAAAAATATATACAGGGTGGCCCATCGAAAACGTTCCGCAAGGCATAACGGCCAGGGTAATTTTTTTTTCAGAAAATTCAAAAACACGTCAATTTTGTTTGCGAGGGGGACAATTTTTGCCCCAAAAATGATTGCAAAATCTTCAACCCTCTAAGCGGGGGTATCATCCCCCAATTTTTTTCAAAGGGGAAGGGGGGTCAAGTGGTGCCGCATTGAAAAGGGCTTTCTATTCTCTATACTCTCCCGCTTCGTTTTTGAAAATCGGTCGAGCCATTGAGAAAATATGAAGGATTGAAATTTGAAAAGTTTATTTAAACATTTATCAGAGTAAATGATAAGGATAAATTCCTTCGACCAATTTGCTATTATTTCTTATTATTTCTAGATGTTGACGCATTTTTTCACCTCCCACAATGATGAACGATCGGGTTAGGTAGAGTGTACTTTCTTTTTGAAAGGTGTAGTTAATCGGCACAACTGTTGGTACTGCGCTGAGGACAACCCCAGGGTTTTTCACGAGGTGCACACACAAAACCCTAAGAAATTGAACGTGTGGGCTGGTATTTTTAGAAATTCTATTGTGAGTCCTTTTTTTTCCTGGAAATCTAACAGGTGATATGTACTTGGATTTACTGGAAAATACCATCGACCCAGCCCTAACTGACATCATAGAGAACAATCCTGGATACGTTGAAGCGGAACTAATATTTCAACAAAACGGTGCACCTCCACATTACTCTCAAAATGTGCGTAATTATTTAAACAATAACTTTCCCGTTCGGTGGATAGGACGAAGGTGTGCACTTGAGTGGCCTCCCCGGTCATCCGAATTGACTCCTTTAAACTTTTTTCTATGGGGACACATAAAAAGTAAAGTGTATAGCGCTCCACCCGCCTCATTAGAAGACCTGCGAAGACGAATTATTGATGTTTGTTGCGAAGTGACCCCCGCAAGTTTTTCAGAATTTTCTAGAACGGGTTGAAAATAATTTGTATTACTGTATGGAGGTTGACGGGCAACATTTTCAGCATTTTCTTCATTAATAAGATAAGTTTTTTTTAATTAACTCAATTTATGTGTTTTTTGCAAAAAAAGTACTTTTCAAATTTCAGTCTTTCATGTTTTCAAAATGACTCGACCGATTTTCAAAAACGAAGCGGGGAAATATAGAGCATAGAAAGCCCTTTTCATTGCGACGCCACTAGACACCCCTTCCCATTTGAAAAAAGTTGGGGGATGACACCTCCGTCTAGAGGGTTTGATGATTTTGCAATCATTTTTGGGGCATAAGTTGTCCCCCTCACAAACAAAATTGACGTGTTTTTGGATTTTTTGAGAAAAAAAATACCCTGGCTGTTATGCCTTGCGGAACGTTTTCGATGGGCCACCCTGTATAAAGTGTCAATGGGATTTCCAAGGCAGACTTGATCTTTTGAGCGAATTTTTAAAAAATCTCATTTTTTTAGTGAATTTTCATAATAATGAATAAAAATTAGATACCACCGTATAGACATTTTTTCGCTCTATCTAACGCGCGCACTGAATAGGTATCGGCGAGAGCGACCGGCACGTAATTTTCAGTTTACGTTGAAATAAATGTAAGCCCGCGCACCGCATCAGATCGGTGCGCTCGGTGCGCTTCGAGCTATCGGCGTTACTCGCGCCATCAGGCGAAATCAGAGAATGCATGGAAGGGGGCGAATAGTCTACGCCGAGCGACTGTTTTTAGTGGAGCGGTTTTACATTAAACATGTCCGATGAATTATTAATCGAAAGTGTACGAGACCATATCATACTTAATATGCGGTTTCTTATAAAAATTTCTTACAAGCGCGTAACCTATATTGTTTACTACACTTATTCAATAACTGAATTAGAAAACCTTCCGATTAAACCCATTTATTTCTCATCTCGTTTTGATTATCTCACATTATTTTGAAAATCGAATTTATATATCGTCAAAAAACTTATCATATTATTTAATTTTTGGTTTGTTTTGACGTTAGTAATAACAGCTGATAAATAGTCATCCTATGTTACTATGTTGATCGCTCCGTAAAAGGTACAAATAGAGAAAATAATATTTATGTTTGAATAAAATATTCGTACATATATCTACCGTATGATAGAAAAAAACGGCGTCCAGTTGAATGGGAAATGACGATTGATGACATTTCCTATATAAATTTACATATAAAATGGCACCGACCTTCATTTCATGGTCATCGCTGATGCCGTTACTTTTCGATAATACGGTACTATAAAAACTATTTATATTTTTTCTTCTTTCAATTTTCTTTGACTTTTTTATTATATTTTAAGTTTTTAAAATCTTGGTTTTAAGTCAGTAGTGAATAAAACGAAACTTGTGTTTACATTTTGTTTAATGATTGACGTTTCGATAATTTAATTCGGTCTTCTTTAGAATCTATAATATACAACACAATTTTATCACTAACAATGTGTTTAATATATAATTTTTCTTACCCACAAACGTAGAAAATTATTTATACGTATATTATAGATCCTGAAGAAGACCGAATTAAAATTGGTCGAAACGTCAATCATTAAACAAAATGTAAACACAAGTTTCGTTTTATTTACTACTGACTTAAAACAAAGATTTTAAAAACTTAAAATAAAAGCTATATATAAATGTTTGTAATGACACTTATTTAGTTTAAAAAACTACAAATAGAAGTTTTATTTGACTATTTTTCATATCTAGCTTTGTTTTTGTCGTGCCGATCGCCGATACCTATTCAGTGCGCGCGGAGCTTAATAGTATACAAATTCAAAATGGCGGCCATAAGAAAACAAAAACTTGACTGTTGTTGTGCGAAATCGAGAATTTTCATTTTCTGAAAACGGCATTTAATTGGTCGAAGTCAAAAATATAAAACTACCCAATTATGTTGCAATAGTTACAATAGTATTGAAGATATTATCATTTAAAATTAACGTATTATTTTATTTTTTTTTGGCATAAACTAATCAAGATACCGGGGTTTTCTTCATAGGTGTGCGTCAAACTTCTAATTACGCAACTTTTATCCCATTTAACCGAATTCGTATCTCTCGTAGTTTCCTCTTCGTAGAGATACCAATGTTGAGCATCGAAATTGTCACCATACTCTGTATACCTACTAGACAATTTTGCTTTTTAGCATGAGCAGAGCTGAGCTTTAAGAAAATAATTCTGATACTCACCCTTGGTTGCATTCTTTGGTCCAGGCTTGTTCTTGTATCCAGGTGGCAAAAGAGCACTGATATCATTTACCGGTTTAGCTTTAGCTAAAATGTCGGAAATCGGAGAATTCGTGGTACTAGTTGTTTTCGGAAGTTTGTATCCAGGAGGTAGCAATGCACTAATGTCATCAACAGGCTTGGCCATTTCGAATAGTTTGGTAGTTTCATCGGTCTTAGGAGGTTTATAACCTTTTGGCAGAAGAGCACTAATATCTACCGGTTTAGCTTTTTCGAAAATATCGGAAGTGTCGGCAGATTTAGGTGGTTTATACCCTGGTGGTAAAAGAGAGCTGATGTCTTCTACGGGTTTGACGTTTTTAAGAAGACTTGAAATATCTAGAATAAAAAATAATAAATAATTAGTCAACTATACATCACAGTTAGCCTGGGCCAAGATGTCAAGAAAAAAAATATATAAACTTTGAGTACATTATTTTTTAAATGCCGATACCACTGTCTCTACACAAATTAAAAAAAAAAACTTTTTCAACCAAAGTAAAAAGCGCTCAAAAAGTTTTGTTAATAATAAATAACGACCATCATCACTAAAAGGTATGCTTACTGTTGCCCCCCTCCCTGTTTCTAAATCCAGGAGGTTGGGTCTCTGCACAAATTTAAATAAAAATAGACTTTAGTCTAACGGAAAAAGCAAAAAAATATTTTTTTTTTAATATTTTAGTGATAAAATTTTACTTTATGATCATAAGTATTAGTAAACAAGTAAAACTACTAACTAACAATTGAGGAAGTACAATTAATAACTTTAACACACACTGAATTTAGACTAAAAAGGAAGAAAACAATAAGGTACTAGCTATAAGTAAATAAATAAATTTTAAACATGGTTACTGTTGTAGGAAGCAACACTCCTAAGGAGTTTTTTTTTGATAGTTTTTTGATCTCGGATTTGAATTAAAGTTTTTGAGAACAACTTAAAGGAATGATGCACCTGCTCTGAGGCTTGCTCAGAGTAAAAGCCCAATGTTTTCTGTGAAATACTAACAAGATCCACTATATGGGGAACAACAGCGTGAATTTTTGGATTAAAACTGATTTTCGTATCTCTTATTTTGTCGGAAAAATTCAGTATATAGGCTTCGTAATAATTGGTATCAATATATTTTCCAAAACAGCTGGCTACTACATAATTGAAGGCACAAAATACCTCTATGTATTTGTTGTCTAAAAAATAAACAAAGGGCTTAGTGTCCAAATAACAATAATAAAATAAAGTTTGTTACAAAGTAAGTACCAGGATCTAGTGCTTTAAGGACGTCAACTTTTTTAAGCAAGTTTCTTCCATTATTTCCATTAAATCTGCTGTAATGGTCTAATTGTATCCCCAGAACTTCTTAGCCAGCTTTCAGCAATTTCCGGAAAGTCCTTTTTAGAGAATCGTATATTTTTGTACACTCCCATCTAAATAAATATATAGTTGATAATTGGAAGATTGTCATCACCAGTTATTAAAGGAATGTTGGCGCAATTCTCTAAAAATTTTAATTAAAATTTGCAAAAAATAACTATTAAAAAGTCAATAAAGTAAACTTAGCAGTACACTTACTGTACTTTTTTGTTTCTTTTAAATTTCCACCTGTCTCCTCGTTCCATAATGTACTCCATTTGGAAATATATTTTATGGATCTTAGTTCTCCCCTTGACTGTAAATTTTTGAGTTAACATCACACCAGGCACATGGATGGCATGATGATGAAGATTGAAGGCCCAATATAATCATTATCAACTTTAGATCTGCGGCAAATGTGTAAGAACTGACTCCACAAATAGTATGGAGTTGCAAAATCTCAAACATTGCTCTGATATTTTTGTAGGTTTCTATTATTTTGGGAGCCAATCCTATTATAATAAATTTGTTTATTCCGGTACTTTTATGTTTTTCTTGTTTTATTTCGGGATTTTCGTAACAACATAAAGACAGACAAATTTTTAAAGATCCACCTACACTATCTATGCCCAGTTTTAAATGGAAATCATCAGTAAGTTCACGTTTTTTAAACAAATGGTATTTCCACCTGACCAGGCAGGCAATTTGGTCAAAAAAATCTCCTTAGGAGTGTTGCTTCCTACCAAACCAAACAGTAACCATGTTTAAAATTTATTTATTTACTTATAGCTAGTACCAAATTGTTTTCTTCCTTTTTAGACAAAATTCAGTGTGTGTTAAAGTTATTAATTGTACTTCCTTAATTGTTAGTTTGTAGTTTTACTTGTTTAATAATACTTATGATCATAAAGTAAAATTTTATCACTAAAATATTAAAAAAAATACTTTTTAGCTTTTTCCGTTAGATTAAAGTCTATTTTTATGTAAATTTGTGCAGAGACCCGACCTTCTGGATTTAGAAACAGGGAGGGGGGTAAAAGTAAGCATACCTTTAGGCGATGATGGTCGTTATTTATTATTAACAAAACTTTCTGCGCGCTTTTTAATTTGGTTGAAATTTTTTTTTTTAAATTTGTATAGAGACCTCAATTTTATGTCGGCGATTTTAATTTTGATATTTTTTTGAAGCTAGTGGTATCGGCATTTAAAAAATAAAGTACTCAAAGTTTATATATTTTTTTTCTTGACATTTTGGCCCAGGCTAACTGTGACATGGTGGCGCCTCTCATACGACGCGGAGGCTCCAAGGAGAACGATAGTTGGTATTGAAATTAAATCTTGTGAGCATATTAGGTTAGTAGGTTAATTTAGAGCATTTTTTAAAAATATAAAGTTCTACAAAGTGTCCCAAAAAAATTACACATCAAAGTTGTTTTTTGTAATAAAACACCCTATATATTAATTGATTTTGGGATTCTAAGAGAACAATAAAGGTGAGTTTCATTATAGAAGTATATGACTAAAATGTAAAGTTTTTGACATATTTAACATTTTCTACAAATGAAGAACAATTTTTAAATTTCTATAAAAGCTACCTAAATTTGAATTAATCCGATATAACTTAATAAATAGTTAACTTAACGATTGTACTTAAATAATCAAATTAAAACTTGGCCTAAAAAGTTATACAGGGTGAGACAAAATTAATATTGAATCTTCAAAAGCAAATTACGCTTTTATTTTAAATTAAACACCCAGTATTTTATTTTGATATTCAATGGAAAATTCAGGTCACTTCAAAATATTATAAAGGTTGCCTACCCCTCAAACAAAGATTTTCTTAGTTATATGTTAAGACATTACTGCTTTTCGAAATAGAACTTCACATATGCCTTTAACATGAAAAGGTCTTTTGAAAAGAGAAAATCATTTTATGCAGGCACATATTGGGCATTTGATTTCATCTAGCTAATTTTTGTGTCATAATTATACGCTTATATCTAGATTTAATTCTGTAATAATTAAAATATGTTTTAATCTTTTTAGTACCGTTGAGTATTTTACTCTACATCGTTTATTTTTTGTTAAATTAACAAAAGGTACATCACAGCCACATATATTGTGTCAAATAATAAAGATCTACTGAGGCAAAATCATAAAAATGAATATACATATCTAGAAAAATCTTTGTCAATCAAGATATATGAATTCTCCATTGAATACCGGTATAATATACTGAATGTTCCATTTAAAATAAAGGAGTAACTTGCTTTTAAACGTAGCCAATCTTCAGTATTAATTTTATCTCGCCCTGTATAACTTTTCGGGACAAATTTGAATGTGGTTTAACCTTTGAATAAGAAGACTAAGGAAGGAGCATAATGCTATCCATGTATTCATGCATGGTGGGCGGAAAAAGCACTCTGGGGTGGGGATCCTTGACAGTTCTGTTTGACGATTCATTTGACACATTTGAATTTGATTTGAAATTTTGTGGATTTGTCATTTACGGAGCTTATTTTATGTTATTTATTATTTATTCTACTACTGATAGTTGTATAAAGGTAGTAAATCTAGATGGAAATTGTGACAGAACTTAAATTAACAGTGACACTATCGCGATTTCTCGAAAAAGACTCTAAAATAGTTGGTTGTGTAGCGTGCGGTAGATCTCGGCAAAAATTGAGTGAAATAATGGAACAACTTTTCCCTAGTAAGTGACTATATAACATACATACGTGTAGTAAACCGATCATTTATGAAATTCACTTAAATTAACTAAATTATATATTTTTCTTGCATTTTAGCATTTATTTATTACTTGTCAAAGATTAGATATCAAAGTATTTAGATACGTTAATTTGACTTACCTGCTTCAGTAGCGTATCGGATGTTTGTGTTAATAAATACTTATTATAACTTATCTATTTTTATTAGAATTATATATTTTTATAACAATTTTAATAACTACCAACATTTATTCACAACGTAGAATAAAAGAACAAATTATTGAGTCTACCCCACGTCTCCCTTACATCATAGTTTTAGATTTTTTAAATAAAATTAGAACGACACTGATAAACCGGAATTTAAGTCGGCCATATTTGAGGCCCATCGCGGTGTACCTAAGATTTTTGATATGCTCCTTCCTTAGTCTTCTTATTCAAAGGGTTTAACAATCAAAGGTTATAGTAATTAAATATCAGGCTATACAGGGTAAATTACAATTTAGGTAGCTGTTATTGAAATTTAAAATTTGTTCTTCATTTTCACAAAATGTGGAATATACCTTACAATTTAGGTATATTCTTCTTTAATAAAACTCACCTTTATTTTTTTTTGCTATTCAAAAATCAATTAATATATAGGGGGTCCTATTACAAAAAACTTCGACGAGTAATTTTTTTGGAGACACCCTGTAGAAATTTCATTTCGATATAAACGACCGTTCTTCTTGGAGCCTTCGAGTCATATGAGAGGCGCCATCCTGTATGTATCAAATAATTTACATGCATTACCTGGAGTTTTCTCGGTAGAATGTTCACTTTGAGGAAGTTTAAATCCAGGAGGTAGAAAAGCCGCTATATCAACTTCTTTAACGTTTTTCAACAGCTCTTCGCTTCTGTTAACTTTTTCCAAATTGTTAGCTTTAGTGTCTGATGGTTTCAATTTTGCAAATATCTCTTGCAGAAGTCCAGCGCTGCTACCCTCTTTTGCTCTAGGTTTGTAACCAGGAGGCAATAATGAGGTTATGTCGTCTTGAGCTGTTGCTTTTGGAGCACCTGCTGAAATAATAATTAATATTAGTTAAATGAATTTGTAATATTTTTAATATTATGTTTTGTTTTTTTATAACTTCTTTTTATGTTTCTCAACAAAGGCGATATTTGACTGTATATTTGAACATTTCTTAATTTTTGCTTTTGTCCTTTCCATTTATCTGATAATTTTTTTCAGTTTTTTATTACTAGCGTGTACCCGCGACTTCGTTCGCGTCAAATTAATCATTTGTAATGGTAATGATAAAGCAAAGCAAGAATTTCAATTAACATACAAACTCGATAAAATTTTGTCACTTTTATGTCAGCATGAGAAAAAACAATCGAGAACCCCCCCCTTATCGAACCTCTACACCCCACAGTCAATCCGTTTGCCAAAAATCAGCTTTAAACGTCAAGCAGTTCAAGCAGAATCGTGATTACTCAATGGTCATATTTTATGAAACACCCTGTATAAATATTTAAAAAGTCTTACAATATGTAAAACAACAAAATAAAACATACGTGTTAAGAGTTTTTCCGAAAAACCCACCGATTTTAAAATAAAAAATATCCTAATATTTGAGGGGTGGTTTCACCCCCTTAGAACTCGAGTTTCGAAAAATCCCTTCTTATCGAACCTCTACACCCTAAAGTTGATCCGTTTTCCAAACATCTGCTTTTTACGTCAAACGCTTTAAGTAGGATCGTGATTAATCAATGACCAGATTTTTCGAAACACCCTGTATACATTTTTAAAAAATCTTAAAATATGTAAAAAAAACAAAATAAAGTGTTTAAGCGTTTTTTTCGGAAATTTGACCGTTTTTTAAATAAAAAATATTGTAATATTTGAGTGGTGGTTTCACCCCCCTGGAACAGGAATTTTGAAAAATCCCTTCTTATCTAACCTCTACACCCTAGAATCAACCTGTATGCCGAAATCTTTGCCAAAATTGAGCTTCTTACGTTGAGTGGTTTGAGCAGGATCGTGGTTAATCTGTGAGTCAGTCACTTAAGGATTTTTTTATATATTAGTATAGATTAAATACTCTCTCTACGGATACGTATTTCGATTATTTCGGTAAGTAAAAGTCAATTTTTTTACAATAGTGCAAAAAGTAACTTATTTGTTGCACTAGTGCAAAAAAACACCTTGACATTACAATAATAATAATAATAATTTATTAATGTCAAAAAATTACAAAGAAACAATTTACACACGTCAATAAAATACAAAAAAAAACATTCAAACAATGCACTAAATAAAATCTTACTAGCTAAAAAAAAGTAGGATAATACTAAGAGCTGGCAAAGTTTAGTCTTGGGTCGAGATTTCCGTATGTAAGAAGAGTACAATTTTTTTCCTTTTTTTTTTCTCTTTTTTTTTAAGAAAAAAGAGTTATCGGTCAACTTAACTCGTAGTTGTGGAGTGACAAAATTTCCCAAAAAACAAAAATTCTACTTTATAAAGCCATTGTAGAGAGCATTACCACTTATGGCGCTGAAACGTGAGAGCTAAACCAAGTAGAGAAAAATAAGTTGCTGTCTCTTTTGAAATGGATAACACATCTCAAATCAAAGAATACGAGAAATTATAGGAGAAAAAGAAACTATTCTCGACGCCACTGACGGCAAAATACTAAGTTGGTACGGACACTTCCAACGAATGGATGATAACCGATATAAGCAGGGCGTAGTTGACGCTATGAATTCTAGGGGCCTCCAGGAAGAAGACTGGACAGACAGAAATCTGTGGAAGTTGAGAAGCGGGAGACGACGAATGTCGTAAAAATCCGCAATATATAATATATATATATATATATATATATATATATATATATATATATATATATATATATATATATATATATATATATATATATATATATATATATATATATATATATATATATATATATATATATATATATATATATATATATATATATATATATATATATATATATATATATATATATATATATATATATATATATATATTATATATATATATATATATATATATATATATATATATATATATATATATATATATATATATATATATATATATATATATATATATATATATATATATATATATATATATATATATATATATATAGAAGAGTACAATGCGTTTATAATGTACTGAACAAAGAGAGGACAGTGAACAAACGTATGAAATAAACCGAGAAACTGTGCACATCGCTAGAGACGTGGAAGGGGATATAGCGGATTTGTCGCAGTTGACCGACCCAATCAATACCTCTATCAGTACTTAAAGTTCTAGGGAAAGGTGTACGTCATGCGTTCAGCTTCACGATTTAATTACGTCTCGTGATACTTAATTTGTTTATTTATTAACGAGTCGTTGTAATTTTCCCTATAGCTTGAATTTTTTTAAGTGCAAGCTAGAAACACTTGCATTTTTGGTAAAAATAAATGGAATTTTCGAAAGAGTGGGTGTTCGATAGTGGTCGCGCTATTAGAACTCTGAATTCAAAAATCGATATCTCGAAATCTACTAGAAATAATAGATTGTAGTTTTTTCAAGAACTTTGGTAATATTTCTGCTGTATTTTCTTTGTAAACAGTATGTGAAAATCTTTATCAATAAAAAAATTACACGATTGCTGAAAATTGCTATGCTCTAAAAGTAAATGGATGGATTGTTTACAATTTTTAAATGGAAAAAACAACCTTACCGAATTTTTCTTATGTAAACATATTGTAAAACATCCGATATTGAAAAAAAAAGTTTCAATATCTTAAGTGGTTCTTGAGTTATGGCTTGTTATGTGTTAAAAAGTTGAGTTTCTAAATTATCGCGATTACTGACGTTTTCTCGTTATAAAAAAATGACACCCTAACGATATCCTTATAATTCCATTTCAGATGCTCAGAAACATGTCTAATGATTTTATCTAGTTATCTCTTGAAAAAATTGGCTTTTAAAAATAAGCGATTTGCAATCGTGATTTTACTTTACTTGATAGGGAAAGGCGTATCGGCAACGCCGCAACAGCACACCGCCGCGCGTCGCATCGGTCGGTCGCATTTCTCTCACTCCGACTTAATAAGATCCCTATGCGATTTACTTCCACACATGTAAATGCCGACCCAAAAGTAACAGTTGCCAGCACGGTATAATGAAAAATTAAAATCCATAAATTCTTGATAAGTATAGAAACTGTTCTCAATTAAATTTTTTTTTAATTTTTCTTTTAAAATCTTTCAAACACATACTTTTTATGAACAATTATTATGAATGACAAATCGAAGACAAAAAAAATTGTGAATTTTTGTGAAAATTTGTCAAATCCTGGAAGGTAACAACCCAAACCAAGTACTAGTACTGGACACCTCGCAGCAACATTCCGCAAAAAAATTTTAGGTGAAGAACAAGAACCCGAGGCCTCCACGAACAGAAATAAAAATAAAATTCAAAAGACTACTGAAAATGAAGTTTGTCCATCAATTACCTTATTGAATGGTTCAAATTGCGACATTAATTGAAGAAATTAATGTCGCAAGAAGATTGAATAGTGTCATTGTTAGTAGTTATATTATTCTGTGAATTACTGTAAAAACTTTTTAATAAAGATTTAAATAAAATTTCAATTCCATCATAGAAAAAATGTCGTGTGCAACATATACAAAAGTATATTTGTTGCACTCATTATGACTGCAGCTGTCGATTCGTCTCGAGCTGCAAAACTCGCGTTGTGCTACAAAGTCCTTTTGGCACTAGTTACACAAATAATTATTGTGTTCCTCTGTAATTAAGAAAATTAAAAGAAAAATGTTACCTAATTAATGCAAGAAATTCAGAAATCTCAAGTTACAATATTCCTAATATGTACGCTTTATTTTAATTCCAAAATAATTTTAAATATGGTACACTGGCAATTAATTAATTCATTAATTTAAAACTTTATTTAATAAATACACAAATATACCGTTAATATTTCTATATTCAAGGTTTACTATTACATAGTTATTACTTAAACCTCATAAATATTATAATTATAAACATATTTCTAAGCAATAAGTAACTTTGTTCAAGTTCTGTGCCACATAGTTGCAGAACAACTTTGATGCATATGAAGTTAAATTTTAGAATTTCATACTTATTGAAAATCGTTTCAAACAGAACTGGAACAAATTGTTTACAGTTGTAAATTAATTGCACTAAAATATTAAATTTTTGTTACTAATTGAAAACTGTAATAACTATATGCATATTGCGTAAGTTATAAATACAGGGTGGCCCATCGAAAACGTTCCGCAAGGCATAACGGCCAGGGTAATTTTTTTTCAGAAAATTCAAAAACACGTCAATTTTGTTTGTGAGGGGGACAACTTTTGCCCCAAAAATGATTGCAAAATCTTCAACCCTCTAAGCGGGGGTGTCATCCCCCAACTTTTTTCAAATGGGAAAGGGGGTCAAGTGGTACCGCAATGAAACGGGCTTTTTATTCTCTATACTTTCCCGCTTCGTTTTTGAAAATCGGTCGAGTCATTGAGAAAATATGAAGGATTGAAATTTGAAAAGGTTCTTTAAACATTTATCAGAGTAAATGAAAAGGATAAATTCCTTCGGCCAATTTGCTGTTTTTTCTTATTATTTCTAGATGTTTACGCATTTTTTCACTTGTCACAAGTTTGAACGATCAGGTGCGGCAGTTGCTAGATAGCTGTTCTGTGACTTGTGCGTTGAAGTTCTTCTCAATATCGTTAAACTTTTTAACAATTATGGTGTACTCACTTGCAGAAAAAGTGGAAATAATCGAACTTTATTTTAAAAATAATGAATGTAGCAATCGGGTTTCGCAGATATTCAATGAATGCCATCCTGAAAAACACCTTTATGGCAAAATTGTTCGCGAGTTAGTAGCAAAATTTCGCAAAACTGGTTCCGTTATGAATAAAAAGAGGCAGAGGGAAAACCCTGTAGTAAATGAAGCTATGGAGGTATTCGTATTGGGCCAAGTTGCCATTGATAGTACGCTGATTACAGGAAAATTAGCCAATGCAAAATTAGCCGGCGTGAATCGTACCAGTGTCCAAAGGATATTAAAAAAACGCAAGTTTTACCCGTACAAAATTCAGTTGGTACAAGAACTCAACGACGACGATTTTGATCGTCGCTTGCAATTTTGTGAAACTGTGAGTGAACGAGTGGCGAATGATAATAATTTCCTATTTAATGTGTGTTTTTCGGATGAGTGTACTTTCTTTTTGAACGGTGTAGTTAATCGGCATAACTGTCGGTACGGGGCTGAGGGGTTTTTCAGGAGGTGCACACACAAAACCCTCAGAAATTGAACGTGTGGGCTGGTATTTTTGGAAATTCCATTTTGGGTCAGTTTAACGATATTGAGAAGAACTTCAACGCACAAGTCACAGAACAGCTATCTAGCAACTGCCGCACCTGATCGTTCAACCTTGTGGTAAGTAAAAAGATGCATAAACATCTAGAAATAATAAGAAAAAACAGCAAATTGGTCGAAGGAATTTATCCTTATCATTTACTCTGATAAATGTTTAAATAAACTTTTCAAATTTCAATCCTTCATATTTTCTCAATGACTCGACCGATTTTCATAAACGAAGCGGGAAAGTATAGAGAATAAAAAACCCTTTTCATTGCGGTATCACTTGACCCACCCTTCCCATTTGAAAAAAGTTGGGGGATGACACCCCCGCTTAGAGGGTTGAAGATTTTGCAATCATTTTTGGGGCAAAAGTTGTCCCCCTCACAAACAAAATTGACGTGTTTTTGGATTTTTTGAAAAAAGAAATATCCTGGCCGTTATGCCTTGCGGAACGTTTTCGATGGGCCACCCTGTATATATAGCTCATAGATAAAAGTTAGTTTTATTATATATTTGCCCTAGATAACGTCAGGTATGGGCTAGGTTTATTTAAGCAGTACCAAGCGTCAAATTGAAGTTTCGAGATATTCGGGGTTAAAGTGGCAATGCTTTAGTAAAATAACGAGGGGTCGGATTTTTAAATTTTGAGTTCAATACAGTCAGAAATTGGAGTTTGTAAGTATTTTTGGCTTTTGGCTGTGGATGGAACCAAACGCCAAAAAGCCATCTGATCTAGAGGTGTGTAGTTCGTGCACGAACTAGTTCCAATGAACTATTCCGGCCCCGGAATGAAAGTAACTAGTTCCTCAGAACCTATTCCGGGATCGAGACTGTGACCGATATAAAATAAATAATAATATGCGACGGATCGGCCAGCGCGATCGTAGCCCGATGCTAGGCAAGAGTGGGGAATGCCAGCGGTATGTTATAGGATCCGGACCTAGAGGAACTAAATAAAAGACTAGTTTAGGTACGGATCGGCTAGCGTGATCGTAGCTCGATGCTAAGCGGGAGTGGAGAGTGCCAGTCGTATTTTACCTGTCCCGGACCGAAAAGACTGGGAGGAACTAGAGGAACTAATTAAAAGACTAGTTCAGGGGAATATATTCAGTCGGCAAATCCGAGATACAAGGCGACGATGACAGATTCGGCATTGTCTATTACCACAGCTGGCGTAATTACCACAGAAAATTGTCTTAGATATTGTTTTTGATTTTTAGTTTGTTCTTTGAGTATTTTATGGGAATGTTTCACTTTAGGTCGTTAAAATTACGAAATATCTTATAAAATGAAGTAGATATTCTGAATTTTTAGACAAAAACAAAAAGCTTGAAGTGGGGAAAAAGCAATTTTTCGTAAAATTTTCATTATTATTTGCTCCAATTGATTTGTGATATAGTTTTTTAAACTCTGATTTGAGTTTCTTTTTTATTTTTGTTATCTGCAATAAAACTTACCTGTATGTATTTAACATGCGCAATTACACGTCTCGTTATATTTCGTACATTATAAAAATTCTACAGATCATACTGTGAATAGTTCTGACTGACAACGTAATCCATTAGCAAGCAACGGGGATGCCAATGTTAGTCGGGAACTATTGTGAACTAAAGACTTAGTTCAAGGAAATATTCCTCTGGAGGAACTAGAACCAAGGAACTAGTTCCTCCCAAGGATAATCCCCCTCTCCATAATCCCCCTCTCCCCTCTCCATAAACCTAACTGATTATTCAAAATTTGTATAGGACTTCCTATTTTTCCAGCGCATAGGCACCACCCGGTATATAATTTTTGGTATAGTCACCTTTGCTTGTCTCACTGGGTTTAGTTGCTTTTGGCAAGAGTCGTTTTGATTTCGGTGTGGTTGGTCGATTACCAGGCGAATACCTTCTGATGTTAACTTGAGGGTATGGCTTGGTTGTCGTGGGTATAGTTGGTGTAGTAGTCGACGTTATTGTTTCCATGGTCGACACATCCATTTTATCTGGACTGTTTTCTTTTATCACGGCTATGTTATCGTTTTTAAATCCACCTAGAAAAAAATGAGAAAATGCTAGAAGTTTTTCGGTAAATTTACCTTTTTAGTTCAATTTTTTCTTAAAACTAAATTTGAAATCAAATAATCTTATACAATACAATTTTACAATATTTAAAACAAAAAATGAACACAGATTATTTGATTTCAAATTTAGTTTTAAGAAAAAGGTCACTCTGGTTTGTTATTCCATTTTTATATGGAATTTAAGAGTTTTCGATTTTTTTCTTGTATTGTAAAATATGGAATATTTTTATACCACACTCAAACAAACCAAAACCATAAAATGCAAAAAATTCCAAGTCTTACACGCAGTTTCCCCATCAGAAGAAGTTGTGGGATTTCATATGAATTAAAGTCAGATATTATTGTTAGTGTATGGAAGTACCTGTTCAACATATCCGTTAAAAAATGATATCTAATTAATTACCTATGAACTTTTGAGGAGCAGACTTACTAAATGTATTTTATCCATTTTTTAAGATTTCCAACCAAAGGTGGCATAGTCAACTAAATACAGAGAGTTATAATATACAGTGTGTCAATTTTAAAACTTCCCACCCTTAATATCTTTCTTGCAGTTAAAAATATAAAAAATTGGAAAGAATTTTGTAATTGTAAATGAATATTTTTACTCTTTTTCTTTTAACCCCTAGGATGGGTAGATGCCACCTTTACAATATTAAATGGGAATGGGGGTCAAGTGGCACATAGTTTTAAAGGGCGTTAATTCTCTTTTCAGTGATATCCTACTTTATTGGTTTTTATCCAGAGGTTTCCGGATAATCGCGTTTCAAAGTTGCAGAAACAATTAAACGTACCTGCATTGAGATTTTGGTTTTCAGGTTAGTGTTTACACAAAAGTTATTGCTATGGATCTCCTGTAGTTCAAATGATTAGAAGATTAGGTTCCACCACTTATATTATTATAAGTTGTTCAAAATGTTGTCCATTTTCCTGTAAACAGTAATAAAGTCTGTTTTCAAACATCTCCCTAACATTTCGGAAAACTTCACCGGGAATTGACTGGCATTCTGCTGTAATTTAATATCATCAATATCAGTAGATTGTCAAAAGTCAAATAATCTTGAAAGCCATTCAATTGGTCTCCTTCTGCCAATCCATGTACCCGGAAATCTCTCGTTTAACCACTGTCGGACCGCAAAAAAATAATGAGCTATAGCACCGTCTTGCTGGAATGTTTACAAATCCTCCTGTGAAACTGAGTAGAGGTTGCAACTCATTCGAATTTGAGAAAGGAAACGTTAATGTTTATGATGTTTTCTGTTTATTAGTATTTCGAATTTCGACCCCCTAGAAAAATGTAATGGCTACGTCCTTGTTACCACCTAATCTTCTAGTCATTTGTACTGCAAGGAGATCTACTGCAATAATTTTTGTGTAAACATTAGCCTGAATACCAAAATCTCAATGCAGGCATGTTTAATTGTGTCTGCAACTTTGAAACGCGATTATTCGGAAATATCTGGACAAAAACCAACAAAGTAGAATACCACTGAAAATAGAATTAAATGCCCTTTAAAACGATGTGCCACTTGACACCCATTCCCGTTTAAGATTGCAAGAGTGACAACTACCTCCTAAAGCTACATTCGCAATCAATTCGCTGGCCGAGTGGTACTTTGGCACGCAAGCTTATCATATGTACTTCAGTGTAATCATTCACAACAAAATTCGACGCCAGAGTGCAAGTTGAAGTTGGATTGAAAGCTTGCAAGCTGCTAACTTCCACTTCAGCACGGAATTTTCATTTGACAATTATGACAATTTTGACATTTAAATTTTAATAATTATTTTGTTTGTGGTGTTGTTACAAGCCATTTTCCTGTGAAAGTAAATATTTATTATTAAAAGAAAAATGAGTGAAGTGGACGCTATTCCTATTTTATTAGGACTTGTGGCTTTGCTGTTAAAAAAACGGCAATTATTGTTGCAGCCCAATAATTCGCTTGATCGTAAACCAAGGGGTTTACCAAAATCTAAAAAATGGGGCGTTCGACCCATATTAATGGCGAGAAAAAGTTTTGGGTGCTACGAAAATCTTTTACAAGAAGCTCGCTGAAGCAATCCCATAATTGAGACACATTTTAGAAAAAAATCATCACTAAATGACGTTCTTGTTTCCATTTTTCTAAACATAAAAACTTGGAAAACTTATATAACAACTGTTCCGGATTTTGCCTCTTCCATATGCTCTTCCAAAATAAAAACAAACAACTAACCTAAAAAAATGTCAGGAGACGTTTAAACACGCGTGCGCAAAATTCGACTTGAAATTTGTTGTGAATGGTTAATTTCGTGCCGACTTTAATGTCGAATTGCCACTTGGCCAGCGAATTGATTTCGAATGTAGCTTAAGGGGTTGAAAGAAAAAGGCCAAAAATATTCATTTAAAGTGTACACCTTACTAATAAAATTGACGTGTTTTTCCGATTCAACATCGGCATAAATATTATTCACAAACTTTTCAGAAAACTGCGTGAAATACAGGGTGGCGCCTCTCATACGACGCGGAGGCTCCAAGGAGAACGACAGTTTGTATTGAAATAAAATTTTGTGAACATATATAGGTTAATTTAGAGCATTTTTTTTAGATATAGAGAGTTCTACAGGGTATCCCCAAAAGAAGTTACCCATAAATGTTGTTTTTTTGTATTGGAACACCACATATATTAATTGATTTTCCGATTCTAGGAGAAAAATAAAGGCGAGATTCTTTAGAGAAGTATATAACTAAGCAAACTAGTGTATAAAACAGGCAAACATTTTTAAAACCAACTGAAATCCACCAAGCCTATACTATTTGAAACTTTTTCGATTATGTTTGGAGACTTTAATCGTCCAGTCTCGTATTTATGAATTAGTAACCTCGATAAGGCTTTTCGAAATTCAAACGGGCGTCCCGTCGGCTTAAAATCAAAACGGTAGTACCTAACTAAGCCTGGTCAAAAGAAGACAGACGTCGCAAGTTTAATCGGGCCACCGTATCCCGTCCCGAATATAAACGAGTTTATAATTCCGGACCGGGATTTTCTGTATTTGCTATTGCCGGATCTAGGTTAATTGCCGAATAGAGTAATGGGGGTGATATTTATTGCGAGCTGGTCACCTAACTGCCTAATGCAGTTTCAATTTTAAAAACGGTGGACTCGAGGAAAAATATAGTGAGCTATTGGATAAGCCATAAATGATTTGAACCACGTAAAAATTGAGGTCGAAAATTTATGTTCCATTATACAGAGTGAGTCGTAAATAATTGCAAATATTTTTATAGGATAGAATATTTCGACCCCAGATGAGGTTTTTTTCGAGAAATTGTTTTTTTAAAAAATTTCGAATTTTTTGATTTTTTTTCAAAACGAAGCATTTTCGTATAGATGTAAACCCAGATAGCACAAAAGGAACATTTACATTCTAAGAATATTCCTCCGAAGTTCTTATAAGTATATTCTTTTTTTAATAAGTATGGCATATGAATAGTACATTCTACTACGAATGTGATTTAAAGGTATGTTATCAGCATGACCTTAGAATGTCTTCTTAAATTATGGTTTACAATAAATTTTAAGTATCTGCTATTCACGTTCTAAACATATCAATATCTGAATAAAAATATAGGAGAATAAAAATGATTTCTAAATGAAAAAATGAATACAATACATTATATTTGTATATTTTCTTACTATCAGTTACTATTAAGTTTTTGTGTATTAAATAATTAGGGATTTTATATATTAGTGTATATAGATGCCCTGTAAACAAATATTCAAGCAAAAATACAGTGTTTCTTATTCTAACAAATAAATAAACCTGTAAAACTGTATAAATAAAAACGATCTTCCATTATGAAATAAAAAGATCGATTATACCAAAAGATAGTTTGATAAAACTCGCTAGATTTTAATCGATTTTTTAGGTAAAAAGATCGATCTTCGACTGAAATCGATTCGAATCGTACATCCATAACATAACCTAATAAAAAAACAACAAGTGAACTATAAACGTAAACGTGCTTCATCCAAACTATTATATTTTAATAATTAAAACACTGAGATAACGTAAAGATAAGTGATGCAAATAATTATTTTAAGGATAGAATCGGTAAAATAGTTCTTGTTATGTTTGTGTTTTCAGTATCTATTTTAAGGTGAGTGAATTTAAAACCATGAGACCTCGAAAGAAAAAAGGTTACACTAAAAAATATTTTAAAATTCAGCCAAAAAAAAGGAGCCAAAATCTTATTAAGTCAATGTTACGCAAATATGACTTCAATATTGTACATTAAACTGGATTCAGACCAAAGTGGATTCAGACTTTGTTATCCTCCGTACCTACATCATCAAAGTAGGTAGTAGTATCTCTGGTAGTATCATTGAAGATTTCTGTTCTAATAAGTGTAGTTCCAGTGCTGAAATTTCCTACAATATAGTATTTATATAGGTATTTATGTAGGCTTTTCTATAATCATTTATTGTGTATTTTTTAAGAGAAGGTATTTTTTTTAGAATTATTAGGTTCGAGAATTATCTAGACTTGGCGGTTCAGGAGTAGCACAAAGTACAAGGAAAATGCTTTATAAGGTTCTGGGCAATGAAATTGCACAAAAATATTCTTAGGATGGGGCCAAACAGAAGAGAAGTTTGAAATCATTGTTAGTGGCCAAAAGCAATTTTAGGTATTTGAACTTAAAGATATTTGGTGTTGCATAGACTGTAATAACATATATTTTAGACTCCATGAAAGGTCAATTTCAAGAGTCAAAAGAAACCGAAATTATCAATATAATTAAAATATGGCTTGTAAAAACAAAAGAAAGATTAAAAAATACCAAGGTAAGTTGTGCAATTTATTTGAACAGTATAATTCTGCTGATATTATTTCAGAAGGGTAGACAAGAGAATATAGAAACATAGACATAGAAGATAATATCAATGTATATCGTTATATTAAAATATTTTTAATTAATAAACATATAT